GTTCCACGTATGTAGAATTGAATTTCTAATTCCATTTTCTGATTCTATTCATCGCCTTCTCTCTTAAGATCTGTTGCGGATGCGTCCGAGAAGGACGTGGCGACCCTTGGGTTCCAGGTTAGTAAAGGATGGCTGCCCTGGATTTAATAAAAGTTAGCAGCAGCATTAGAACTTAGTCCTTACTGATGCCTTGACACTGATACCTTGTTTGTTCTCCTCCAGAGTCTCCGTGTTATTATGAGTGATGGACTTCCTACTCTTCCAGAAGATTGTCTCCATGTGTAAGACCATATGCCAGTTTTAGTTACTATGTTCCTTATTTTACATGTTGATACTTAGCTGTCCTAGGTGTCAAATTTGTTCCTCATTTCTATGTGGATGGTAGTTGAAGATGTTAATATTTCAGGTGCATAGACGTTACTGGAGCTTACAGTGCACAGAAGAGTGACTTGAATATAAGTTTGACGGCCATTGGTCTACTGTGGACTTTGACTGATTTCATTGCAAAGGGGCTCCACCATGGGTCGCTAACGGAGAAAGGATCGGGTAATAACTTTCAAATCCTTGTCTGCAATTATTACCTCAAGAGAAGATCTGTGTCAAATATTCAGTAGTTGTACTGTTTCTGCAGGATTCAATAGTGTTGATTCCACTCTACAGCAAACAAACGGTGAGGACGGGGAAGAGCATATGGTTAGCATTTCCAACAAGCCAGATCTTGAAGCTCGAATACAAGTAGTTAATCATGAGAAACTGCTGTTTTTAGTCTTTTCGTTAATTCAGAAACTTGTGGATGACGAGCGACCAGAGGTATTCGTCATAGACCACCATTATTTTTGAACGTGAATCATTTAATTGGTAGTTTGCTGCTCCATCAATCTAATTTTTTGGTTGCTAATAAATTTTCCAGGTCAGGAATTCAGCAGTCAGGACATTTTTTCAGATTTTGGGAAGTCATGGGAACAAACTTTCAAAAAGCATGTGGGAGGATTGTTTGTGGAATTATGTCTTCCCGATGTTGGATGGCGCCTCTTACAAGGTGAGGAAAGAGAGTCAATACAATCATTTTAGGAGGCTCTTGTGACCGTGAATCTTCTTTTGTAGGCTGCAACATCATCAAAGGATGAATGGCAAGGAAAAGAAATTGGTACTCGAGGAGGGAAAGCTGTGCACATGCTTATCCATCATAGGTAACGAAAGAAATTCTTCACATGTGGAAGTCTTTTGTATTGTCCATCTCGTTTTGATAGTCTTTGATGCCTGAATAACTTATTTGTTTTAAAAGTTTACCACTTTTTCTACCATTTAACCTTGCCATCTGTTTTCTGATTTTCAGTCGCAATACAGCCCAGAAGCAGTGGGATGAAACTTTTGTGCTTGTCCTTGGAGGAATAGCCCGCCTCTTCCGGTCCTACTTTCCTCTTCTTGAAAGTTTACCTAATTTCTGGTCAGGTGAGTGAATTGTGATTTGCCTGGACTGCAGTCCTTGTTGTTTAGGAAAAACTGAAATATTGTGGAACTTTCTACTTCTATAGGATGGGAGTCTTTGCTTGCTTTTGTGAAGAATAGCATTTTCAATGGGAGTAAAGAGGTATCACTTGCAGCGATAAATTGTCTGCAGACAGCTGTTGTGTCTCATTGTGTCAAGGTAACTGCACAACTACTTGAACTATCTATGAGTTACTATTGACACAGTCATATCAATGTTTCCCTGTTTTAACTTTACTTTTTTATTTTATTTTAGGGGAACTTGCAGCTCCGATATCTTAATTCAGTCATGGATGTGTATGAGCTCGTTTTCCAGAAGTCGTCGAGTTACACAGGCGACACAGCTACTAAGGTGAAACAAGAGATTCTGCATGGTTTAGGTAATTCATTTTTTTTCTAATGAATTCTCGAGTTTTCTTTTAGTATTTAATGTTGACTCAGATAAACAATTAATAGAAATGGCTGAAACAAGGGTGTCTTCTCTGGGTGATGGAATTGTTGTAACACTTGGATCTTACTCTATCCTTTTCATTGTTGTCCGATGTTTTGACAGGTGAATTATATGTGCAATCACTGAAGATGTTTGATGATAAAATGTACATGCAATTGTTGGGAATCGTAGATTTGGCTATAAAGGAGGCAATCATAAATAGCCAAAATTTCGAAACTGAATATGTAAGTCTGTTCTCCCATCATTTATCCTGTACCTTCTTCCTCTCAAGTACTCGGTTTCAAAACTAGCTACCTGCCTGCGTTCATCTTATGCTTATTTCTCTGATGATTTCAAGGGACATGTCCCCCCTGTACTACGTCATGTTTTGGAAATCTTGCCCTCTTTGGGTCCTCCTGAGCACCTTTCATCAATGTGGCTAATCCTGCTAAGAGAGTTTTTGCATTATCTTCCACGGGTTGATTCTGTTCTGCCAAATGAGGAAGGTGGGATTGAGCAGAGCAACACAGGGCATCATGCGAGTAAGTCCTTATGTTGTTTTACTCTTAGCAAGTCTTAATTCTAATATTTGCTTATCATTATTCTACAGGCAGTGAAGTTTTGGAACAAAAACCTGATGCTTCGTCTGACGGAGCAGCTCCAACCACAAGAATTACGAGTAATTTGTTTGCAGAAAAGCTGATCCCTGCCTTGGTGGAGCTTCTTCTTCAGGCTCCTGCAGTTGAAAAGTATATCCTGTTTCCGGAAGTCATCCAGAACCTGAGACGGTAAACTCAACTCTCATTATTTGCCGTTCATAGGATCAGATAGGCATTGCGCTCTTCTCAACTCAATGTTCTCATAGCATAAGTTTTGAAAGGGAAGCATAGGTTATTTGGTTATCTGTTTGCACTTGCGGTCAACCTAAATATCCCCTTCCCTCTCTCAAGTTCCACGTCCCAGCCTAGAATTGCAAAAAGAATACAGTAGATTCCTGATTTTTTATAGAGTGGTTGATTTACCATGCATAAACACTTTCTTCAGTTGTGTCTGGGAGAAGTGTGTACAATCAACTTATAGTATCATTTTGTTTTCCAGGTGCATGATGACAAGACGAGACAATCCAGATGGTTCACTCTGGAAGGTAGCAGCTGAGGGCTTCAACCGTTTACTTGTTGAAGATGTGAAAATATGTTCTGTGGGTGGTGACACAGACCTGAAAATTAGCAAAACGGCTCGAATACGCATTTGGAAAGAAATTGGAGATGTTTACGAGATATTCCTTGTTGGTTATTGTGGACGTGCGCTTTCTTCAAATTCTCTCCCTGCTGCAGGACTGAAGGCCAATGAGACCCTTGAGATGGCCTTGCTAAACGGTCTCGGGGATATCATTCTTAAGTCAACTGTTGATGCACCCCGAGAAGTGAGCAGCTTGGATTCATGTAAAATGTTCTCTGTTATCCTAATGTCTGGGTTTTGAATATGATTTGTCGATTTCTTGAATCAACAGGTTCTGGAGAGGCTTGTTTCAACCCTAGACCGCTGTGCATCACGTACATGCTCATTGCCTGTTGAAACTGTAGAGCTTATGCCTGCCCACTGTAGCAGATTTTCCTTGACATGCTTACAGAAATTGTTTTCCTTGAGCAGGTATAATCATGTTGAGCATGTCCATGATCACTAGCATCTCATACTTCATAATGTGATAGCTCTTTCTCTTACGAGTCCCTCTCCGACTTTATATGTCATTGGCATAGACATATGACAGAGAGAAGCCTTAGGCATTTTACCCTTTTTGCTGCAGAATATTTGACATGTCCATGAATAGTGATTTGGTATCCATCCGTTCTCCCACATTTGACATACATACATCTTTTTAGTTTCAGCTCTGAAACCGAGAACTGGCACTCAACAAGAGCAGAAGTGAGCAAGATCTCTATCGTCACGCTAATAGACAGATGTGAATTCATTTTGAGTAGATTTTTAATCGATGAAAATAATCTAGGTAAGGTTCTCTATTTCTAATAAACCCTAACATTTTCTTTGCTTGGCATTCTTTAATCTGTGGTTATCTTTTGGCAGGCAACCGTCCAATCCCGACAGCTAGACTTGAAGAGATTCTCTTTGCCCTCCAAGAACTTGACTGCCTCTATATTCATCCTGAGGCTGCATCAGTTCTTCCGTTGCAACCCTATCTGAAAACCATCCTACGTGAAGAGAACCGTGACACCCGTGCACACCTACTTGTCCTTTTCCCCTCTCTGTGCGAGCTTGTGTTATCAAGGTAATATCACTTCTTCAATTGCAGCTTTGTCGTGCGAAATACCGTCAATTGGAATTCTTGATTGTGGCAAAATCTCTGTATGGCCGCTAAAAAAATCTGATCCATCAAGTTAAAAAGGGAGGAGAATAATTTGTTACTGAGAGTTCTGTCTTCACCAGGGAAATGCGGGTGAGAGAGCTGGTGCAAGTTTTACTACGAGCAATTGCTACGGAGCTGGGTCTCGAAAAGGTTAGTCTATCCCGTTGATGACAACACATGGCAATGTTTATCAGAAGATACGAGCTCTAAACTTTCTATTTACACTAGATTCGTTAGAAATTTTGGTTCTCTACCGCATAGGTTGTATTATTTGTTTTAGCTTGTACTGGTTTATTCGTGCTGTTTTATCTCTCTTGATTCATGGGACTGTTGTTCATTCTTTCCTGTTGAGGGTACAATCCGCCATTCGCTGATATTATATGTTGGCCTAGTCGTGTCCAACAAAATTCCTGTTAACCAATTTCGAGAACCCGTCACTTTTTCTGGTTCGGTCGTTACCCGTTCTGGACCAGTGCAACCTGCTTTGATGTATCATTTACCCGATCCATTTTTTTACCATGTTTGGTTAACTTGTGTATATCATCCTGATCTTCTTGGATCGTCGTTGAAATAAATGTGATGTAATGTAGCTTCTATTTTAAATAGGTAATTTGGTAGAATAAAAAACTTTGAAATCTTATATACATCAACTTATATATATACATATAGTTTGCTATGTACTTACTTCTCAATGCCATTCCGAAGAAAAAGGAAAGGTTTTCACTTGGCCTGATTAATCCGAGCAGCGGCAGCGACAGAGGCAGCCACTCCGGTTGGGTAAGTAGTGAGATGAGGATCATTCCTCATCTCTGCGCCTGTCACTCCCTCTGCGTCTTTTCTCGTTGCTGCTTTGTCTGACGGTAATTTGCTACTCGCTCCCTTTCAGAACCATTTTTCGAAAAGAACAAAAAGGAAAAATTAGATCCCGCAACGAATAAATAAATACATTTATCAACATATTCAAAGAAAGATCAGAGTAATAGGTTTGTTACACAAATTTTTAAGAAATTGTTTTCTAGGAAATTTTCAAGAAATTGTTTTCTAGCAAAATCAATTATTAAAATTTGAAAATGTGTGTTAACTCACAGTGAGAACGTCGGCGAGCGTAGTCTTGTCGTCGTCGTCGGTAACTCGAGCGTTAAGAGTGGCAGCTGATTGAGCCGAAGCTGCAACACCTCCGGGCATGATGTTGGTCCGTCCTGTGGCTCTAACCTCAGCCGCTTGTATGGCAGCTGCGTCGCTCCAGTCGACCGGCTTATTCCCTGCCGTGAGAACCGCTGCCTCTAAAGCCTCTCCAATCGTTATGGATCCTTGCGATGCTGGAGGATTTGCTACCACCTTTTTCGGGTTTAATTGTCCCTCCGCCTACAATGTTAAGGCTCTAATTACTCGATCATATAAATCACACTATATGTTTTTTCGTTTCATATGGCAAAAGTTCGAGGGCAACATAATTTCTTGAACTCAGTTACTTATAATACTAACACGTATTGAATGGATTGATTATATATGGACCTGTTCATCGGATGGCTCGGCGACAACATCTTTCTCTTTGTCCTCCGTCGCGGGAGTCTTATCGGCCTCTCCTTTTACGTCGTGAGTTGTAGGTTTATCTAGCTGCTCTTCGCTCATGTTTTTCTTTTTGTCAATTATTTTTCAACGCAAAATATAAATTTGTAATGGTTGGAAATTTATATAGTTTTGCATGAGCCGTTCAATTCCGTGACTATCTTACATAATAAGAAGAATGGTTGGTTCTCCTCGACTTTCTCTCTATTCTCTCCTCTCTAATTTTCCTCTTAATTTAGCCAATGCAAAGTTCCAAACATAAAAGTTCGGTTCGGTTTGATTGAACCGAATGTAAGTAATTATCGATCAATTTAATTTCGGTTAAGGACTTAGGGCTTCAATGGCAAGTTTCACTTATACTTGCTTCTTCTTTCACAAAATAAAATCCTGTAATAAAAGAACTTCCTCAACTCGCCGTCGCTGTTTTCCGACTCACAGGTATTATTTTCTCTCTCTGTTTCACATCTTAGGGATTCTCCACGGATCAAATGTTCGCGTCTTAGGGTTTCAATCGAATCACTGCTTCTCTTGTCTTGTTGAATCTGCTGCTCTGAAAAATGTTCACTCGTTGTAATTTTAGCCTCTCTATTCTGAATTTGACCTCGTAAATCGTGTTTGGTTGATCAGTGAAAGAGGACGAAAGAGAATGGACCCGAGCGCCAGTGGACCGGTGGTGTTGACGGCGGAAGAGCAGGCCGTACTGAACGAAGGAATTGGTTTGATACTCTCTAGGTGGACTGCAATGCGAGCCGCTGTCGAAAACGGTTGGGGCGGTCGAGATTCCCAATTGAAAGCCGAGCGTACCGTTTCCAACGTTTTCGATCATTTCACCCAATCAAAAGGTTAATCTCATTTACCTTTATTTTAGTTGATCCAACAAACTTGGTGTGTTTTTCTGGGATTATGAATCATATGATTGAAAATGTTGGCATTGTGATTACTTCCTCTTGTAGATCCAATGGACTTTGACAGATTAGCGGATATTCTAGAGAGTGGTCTTAACGAGCTTAATACTGTCGCTGATGATGGAAGCCTTGAAGAGGTATGTATATTATTCATTTTGTAATTTGATATACTAATCTCTCGAGTCCTTTCTTTTGGGTACTGATAGTGTTTCCTTATGATGCAACTGAAGGTGACAGACAAACTACTAGATTTGTTTGAAGAATGCCTCGACGGTAACTACAAAACTGTTGAGAAACTGAGGGTAACTAATTCTCAGACGAGTGCGAGTGTCGTCAAGGTTTGTATTGTCAGACTTTCTTTCTATTTTCCTTTTGCTTCTTCCAATGAAACCAATGCTTTCTTGTCGCTTTGAACCTGAGAGGTTGAATCGAGTCACCAATTGTAAAGCCAGATCTTGGCTGTAATGAAAACACATGAGATACAGATTAGATTCCATATATATATATCCACTAGTCGTTTTGGTAATCCGTGTCTCTTTGATTACATTAAAAAAAAGGTTTGGTAATCGCTAGAGTATTTTAAATTTTCTTCATTGGTTTGGTTCCTCCTCCTATATGTAGGATTACTTGGGGAGAGTTTGAATTGAGGCTGCTGTGGTATTGCAGGTTTCAA